GTTGGTTTCTGTGGGGAGCCCTGGAGTGGGCTTGTGGCAGTGTGTCCGTCTGCCAGCGGGCTGACGTGGTGTGGTGTCGCCATGCGTGGCACTGGCCACCGTGGGCGAAGCAACGCTTTCGGGTTACGTAGTTCCTGCAAATCTTGTCCCTCTGGTGTGCTTGGAGAAGAGTGGGGAGTGCAAAGCGGTATGTCCTTACAGTTGGGGTTTCACAAGCAGAGAAAATGACTTTATCTGTAGATAGTCAGGTAGAACATGGCTTATGCACCTTGAGAGGATCATGAAATGTTTGATGAACATCAGCAAATTGTTGTTACTTTAAAAAAAAAAAAACAGCACAACAACCTCGAAAAACATCAGCTGTCATTAGGGATAAAAGGTATTTGGACCACAAGGTGTCAGAGAGAACATGAAAGTATCTGTCAGTTTTGGGACAGTCTTTTCAGAAGAGTGCGGTTGACACAAGCGTGAGCCACCGATACGATGCGCGAGGTGTTGACTGAACTGGGGCAAACGAGAAGAGATGCTGAACTGCAAAACGCTCCCTGTAATACTGGCAGGATAGTGTTGTACTGTGTTAGGTGTGTGCCCTTCTGCTCCACTCCCCCAAATCCTTCTCGGCCCCCTTGTTGCAGGTAGCATCCTTTGTTTCCTGAGTGTTCTTATTTTTCCCAACGATATGAAGAGCGCTCCTTGGGAGCTGTATGGGTCTATGTGCAATAACATGAGAAGAACTAGTGAAAACAGAAGTAGTGAAGGAGGGCAAATGATGTCGTAACAAATTGTTTACTTCCAGGACTTTTCCGTTGTGCTTCTTTGTACGTGTATAAAACCAATAAAACTTTCCATAAATATTCATTGATTGTGAGCAAAGGGAATGCTGATTCTAAAGAGAAGAACAAGTTTCTAGGTCAGATTGCTGTGATGAAAGCATAGGTGGCCTTTTTTTATGAGACTGTTTCAAGTAGAAGGTTAGTTATACAATATAAGTACGATCACTCCTTCGAATGCGTGACGTATGCAAAATAAAAGAAAATGACTGAAATAGATAACTGACTTACGTTCCTGTTTTTTTGTCAGCCTTCTAGCAGCGGCCGAGCTGCAGAGCTCCTTGCCAAAGAACGTGGAACAGTGCCCGGGTTTATTGGCTTTGGAACGTCTCAGAGTGATCTAGGATACGTTCCTGCAGTTCAAGGAGCAGAGGAAATAGACAGCCTTGTAGATGCTGATTTTCGAATGGTGTTGCGAAAACTTTCAAAAAGGGATGTCACAACAAAATTAAAAGTAGGTGTATCCTTTCTCATCTGTAACATTTTTTTTTTTTTTACTGGAAAACAATACATTTTTCTAAAGTGGGGGAGAGGAATATATCAAGGTAGTACTATGTTCATATTGGCAAATTTGCTAGAACTGTAGTCCAGAAGGTATCTTGGAGAACTTACAAAAAGGTCCATCACACAGTGCTGATGGAGCATTCCTAAAATTAACTCTATAGATGCTCAATTGCAAGAAATGAATTGATTTTTGAACAAGAGAGATGCAGTGTCTGGTAGAAGCTGCTAAATTACAGAACATATCTATCTGACTTCTTAAATCATGCTCTTGATATTTTGATTTTAGGCTATGCAAGAGTTTGGAACAATGTGCAAGGAAAGAGAAGCGGAAGTTGTTAAAGGTGTTCTTCCTTACTGGCCAAGAATTTATTGTAAAATCTCACTAGTAAGTATTAAAGTATCTAAATTAAAAACTTCTCTGGATACTTGTAAGGCAGTCTTTATTGATATATATAACTTTGTTGGAATTACTACTGACTAGTTCTAGGAAAAACATGAAGCTGAAGGAAAATAGTGTTCTTTATTGTGGAGATGTTTTAGTGTTGGCAGAGGGTGGAAGCTTGGACTGTTGACGCCGAGGCTGTGCTTGCTGGATGGAGATAGCTGTTGGTTAGACCTTTATGTTAAAAAGACGACAAGATATTTCTTCTCATCAGAAGTTATTTGATGTAGATTCCGGAATGGCTGAAGAGAATGTACTGTTCAGTTAACATAGTTATAAATCTTTTTGATCTAGGACTAATATCTCACCAGACTTACTATTAATAAAAAAACAAAACCCCACAACCCACAAAACACCACCCCCCCCAACATAAAAAGACCATGTGTAGCCAGATAATCTGTAATTTTCTGATATATTTAATGCATTTCCAAACTGTTGGGATTATATACTGTTGGAAGCATGATATAGGACAAAATGAATCACTATTCTGATCTGTTAGAGCAATTCCTAGTATTTCTTTCAGGAGCCAAGAGTGTAGAAAGTCATGATGTTGTAGATTCATACACAAATAATGGATAATGATGCACAGTTTCTGTAGGCTTATGGTTGTTTTAATGCAAAAAGTGTCTTCAAGGCTTCCTGTTTCTCTTGCCTCTTGTCTTTCTGTTAAATGTTTGTATAAAATGGAAATAGAAACTGTAGTTAGGGATATCAGGAAAAGGTTACAATTTTGAATGTACAACACATCGGAAATATGATGCTACAAAGTTAGGACTCTCCCCTTACCTAGAGGTATGAAGACTTTTTTGTCGTTGTTGCATATTTTCAAATCTCTGTAGCCCAATTCATTGCAAAAATGGCTGAACTGAGAGACAGCTCTTCTTTTTTGTCATCACTTCTGCTTTGAAGTACCTGACATCAAAGGTACATTTCTTAAAACAATAAACCTTTCTCTTTTTTTTTTTTTCCTTTTTCTGTTTGTGGGGGGGTTTTTTTGTTTGTTTTTAACAGGATCATGACCGTCGTGTTCGAGAAGCAACTCAGCAATCTTTTGAGCAACTGATTCTTAAAGTAAAGAAACACTTAGCTCCTTACTTAAAAAGTATCATGGGATACTGGCTGATTGCTCAATGCGACACTTACTCCCCTGCTGCCTCTGCTGCAAAAGTAGCTTTTGAAAAAGCTTTTCCTTCAAGCAAACAACCTGAAGCCTTAGTATTCTGTAAAGATGAAATTCTTAATGTAAGTTTACACTTCCATATTTCTTTAAGGCTTTGTCTTGAATATATGTCAACTTTTATTATAAATTCTCCTGGTTTCAGCTGGGATGGAGTTATTGTTCTTCCCAATAGCTGCTGTGTTTTGGACTTTAGTATGAGAAAAGTGTTGATTATACACTCATGTTTTTAGCTGTTGCTAACAGGTCAAGGACTTTTTCCAGTCTCCCGTGTTCAGCTGATGAGCAGATGTGCAGGAGCTGGGAGGGAGCACAGCCAGGCAGACAGCCCAAGCTGGACAATGGAAATATTCCATACCACGGGTGTCATGCCCTGGTTATAAAGTGGGGTGGGCCAGGGGGGAAGGAACTCTCTGCGAGTTCGGTCTTTTTCCTCGCTTGGGGACTGGCTGCAAATTGGTCATCAGGCGGGGAGAGAAAAGATTGTATCCTGTAATCCTTGTTTTACATATTCGATTATTATTATTTCCTTTGTTATCTTACCGAGCTGTCTTAATCTCAGCCCCCGAGTTTTACTTTTTCCCATTCTCCTCCCCATCCCACTGCAGGGGGTAGGAGTGAGCGAGCGGCTGTGTGATCGTAGTTGCCAGCGAGCAGCTGCATTGTCCTACTTGCTGGCTGCCAGGTTAAACCATGACACATCCTGCCCCTGTCTATTCTTCATGGTTAAATTTTTCTCACCTGAAATTGTGCTCCTGCTAATGTGAAGACTGAGGCAAAGACACATCCTCTAGTTTTTTGCCTTGTGGTTAGCGTGACTGGAACCAGAGGAATGAATATGAAGTGAATTTTCTTGTGTGCATTTCTACGTAACGATGCTCAGTCATCACGTAATGTTGCTGACAGATGGAATAATGATGCCAGAGTAGTTTAGCTGCAGTGGTAAAGGTGTAAAGAACGCTGAGCAGTGTTTCAGAAAGCCACTGCAAGTTTAGTTCTGACCGAGGTTAATGCTATTCTGCCAGTCATATATGAAACGGAACTGAGTGAATTCAAAAAAGTACAATTTTG